ACCCCCCTCCCTGGCGCGCGGAGCGCGCCAGGGGCGGCGCCGGAGGCGCCGCCGGTGGAGCCCAACGCAGATCCAAGACATCCGCGCGGAGCACCGAAAGTTGATGTTAATGCTGTTTCCTTTTTCGAGAACAGAAGCCGAAATCGATTTACCAGTTGGGGCACCTCATGCTTCGACGGCAAAGAGTCCCTGCAACACGAACTGCGAAAATCTCAGGAGCAGGAAAGGCTGTGGCCATGAGTCTGGCCCTTTCGCCTGCGGGCCCGCCAGCTTGCTGTCTTCTCTCTGGTATTTTCGCCTGCGGGCCCGCCAGCCTCGTCCCCCCGGCCCTGGTCTCCCGCTTGCGCGCCCTCCGCCGTCTGCATGCTAATCGTCTCTGCTCCTCCCCGTCCGCCGTCGCGCAGGCACAGACTGCCGGGAGCCGGCGGCGGAGCGCATCCGGCACACACACACACACAGCTCGGGCGGGACGTGCGACGCGCCTACCGGAGCGCGCGTTCGGCTTTCCGCGTGCGCAGGCGAGCTGCCGAGCAGCAGCTGCGTGTGCAGCCTTTTCTTCTCCCCTCCGACAGAGGCCTCCCGGATAGTAGGGGTCCGAGTGCCGTTGGGGTCGCGGGATCGCCCCCGCATCGCCGATGCGCCGGCGACGCCGGCGGGGGGAAGTCGGGCTCCACCTCGAGCCGCATCGCCGACGCATCCGCGAGGCTTCACGGTCCCCCGACCCCAGCTCGGGGGCTGCTAAAGGTGCCCCCAGCCCAAGGTGCCCCCAGCTTTTCGCTCAGTTCTGGAGCCCTTGGGGCCCTCTGGGCCCCGTGAGGGGTGCTCTGGAGGCCGTGGGGGCCTTCCTGGAGATCCTGGGGGCACCTTGGCCAGGGGCACTTCTAGCAACACCCTAACTGGACCGCGCGCGCGCCCCCCCCTGCTGGCAATGGCCTCGCTCACAGGGCGCCTGCACTCACGCAAATCATTGCTAGACGCTGACATTATGTAAACTCCATTGTCGTGGGGGCTGGGGTCGGTTTCCCACTGCTCACTCGGGGGCGGCCAAGAGGGGGGCGGCCAAGAGGGGGGGGGCAGGGCGCAAATGGCCAGAAGCACGTGCGCGGCCCAGGGGGGGGCCAAGGAACGCATTGAAATAAGAAGGGGCGCCCTGAAATCAGGGAGACATCATGGCCCCCGCCACGATGTCCCCCTCCCTCTAGTCGGCACCCCCCTCTTGGCCGCTCCCGATTCACTGGAGCCGCGGCACCGGCCCCTGCTCGTAGAGCCGGGAGAGCAGCTCGTCCCGCGCGGCGCCCATATGTGGGCCCCCGCGGCGTGGAGCGGCGGCACCTCCCCCGGGGGGGGGGGGCGCGGGAGCCGCTCGCGACCTCCCCCCCCAGCGGCGGGCTACGCACGGCTTATGGGAGGGCGGCGGCCGCCGCGCGGCCGCGAGCCAAAATGGCTGGGCCAGGCTCCTCCTCCTCCTCCTCCTCCTCCTGCTCCTCCGGCTGCTCCTCCTCCTTCCCCTCCTGCTCCTTCTCCTCCTCCTCCTCCTCCTCCTTCTCCTCCTCCTCCTCCTCCTCCTCCTCCTCCTCCTTCCCCTCCTGCCCTCCTCCTCCCTCTCCTCCTCCCCTCCTCCCCCCCTCCTCCTCCTCCTCCTCCTCCTCCTCCTCCTCCTCCTCCCCTCCCCTCCTCCTCCCCCCTCCTCCCCCTCTCCTCCTCCTCCTCCTCCTCCACCTCCTCCTCCCCCTCCTCCTCCTGCTCCTCTCATCCTCATCCTCATCCTCCTCCTTCTCCCCCTCCTCCTCCTCCTCCTCCTCCTCCTCCTCCTCCTCCTCCTCCTCCTCCTCCCTCCTCCTCCTCCTCCTCCTCCTCCTCCTCCTCCTCCTCCTCCTCCTCCTCCTCCTCCTCCTCCTCCTCCTCCTCCTCCTCCTCCTCCTCTCCTCCTCCTCCTCCTCCTCCTCCTCTCTCCTCCTCCTCCTCCTCCTCCTCCTCCTCCTCCTCCTCCTCCTCTCCTCCTCCTCCTCCTCCTCCTCCTCCTCCTCCTCCTCCTCCTCCTCCTCCTCCTCCTCCTCCTCCTCCTCCTCCTCCTCCTCCTCCTCCTCCTCCTCCTCCTCCTCCTCCTCCTCCTCCTCCTCCTCCTCCTCCTCCTCCTCCTCCTCCTCCTCCCCTCCTCCTCCGCTCCTCCTCCCCCCCTCCTCCTGCTCCTTCTCATCCTCATCCTCCTCCTCCTTCTCCCCCTCCTCCTCCTCCTCCTTCTCCTCCTCCTATTCCGTTTGTTTTTCCTTCGTCTCCACCTCCTGTCCTCCTCCTTTTCCTCACTCCGCGCCGTCCGCCCCTTTTTTCTCCTTCTCCTCATCCATTTCCTTCCTCTCCTTCCCCTCCTCCTCCTCCTCATCTTCCTCCTCCTCCTCCTTCTCCTCCTTCTCCTCCTCCTCCTACTCTTCATCCCTTCATCCTTATTCCCCTCCTCCTGCTCCATCATTCGTTGTTGTGCTTTTTAGAGAACTAAAACGTCCCGCGCTGGAATATCGCTGTGTGCGTCCTGGCCAGAATTCAATCGAATTCTCCTTCCATTCCTTTCTCGTCCTCTCGTCCTTTCGTCCTCTCATCATCTCGTCCTCTCGTCCTCTCTCGTCCTCTCATCCTCTCTCGTCCTTTCATCGCCCCATCGACCCATCCTCTCATCGTCCCGTCCTCTGTCGCCCTCTCATCGGTGGCCCCCCCGTGCGTAGCACCGCTTTAAGTAGCGCGCTCGAGGAGCTCGAGCAATCTTTTCAAGTTTGCACCCGTCGGAAGTTTGACTCGTGCCCCTGATGAGCGCGCCGTGCCTCCCATTCCTCTCGTCCTCTCTCGTCCTCTCTCGCGCTTGCCAAACAATGGCTATACTTTTCTTCAGCTCTGGACCACGAGCATGCCGTCCCTTCTCGGTGGTCCTCGCTCGGCGCTCCCGGGCGCTCTGCGACGCCCAGGGAAGCCCATCCCGCCCAGACCGACGCCCCGCGACGAGCTCTGGTAGCGCTCCACTCTGGCCACGCGGGCCCAGCTCAACCTGGTCGCCGCCCCGGGCGCCAGCGACTGGCTCCTGGCCCCGCCCTGCCCAGCGCTCGGCACAGACATGTCTCACGGCCTGATGCAACCAGCGCTGCAGAGACGCCTGAGGCACCAGCTCCCCGACGAGGAGGCCGTTTTGCCCAGCGCGCGGGGAGGTGATGGACGTGTTCGCCGACCGCGCCCTCGCGTGCAATTGCCGCGGCGACCGCGCCAAGCGCCAACTGCCTGCGCGACCGCGCCTGGCACGAAGCGCTGGCCGCCAGCTAAGCGGGCGCGGATATTGCCGCCTCGCGCCCCCGGCGAGGGCTCTCCCGGAGGCGAAGGAAACGGGGGCCACTTGGACGGCGACGGACGGCGCCCCGCGGACGTTTTCGTCCCGCGCTGGCGCAACGGCACGCCCGCGGCCCTGGACCTTGCCGTCGCCAGCGGGCTCCGCGCGGACTCGCTGGCAGCTTCGGCCGAGGCGGCGAGCGCGGCGGCGGACCGCTGCGAGGAGCGCAAGCGCCTCCACCAGGACACCCAGCGCCGCTGCTCCCAGGCGGGCCTCTTTTTCACTCCAATGGTGCGCGAAGCGCACGGCGGCGGTTGGGGGCGGGAGGCGAGCCGCGCCGTCGCGGCCCTTGCCAAGCGGCTCGCCGACGCTTCCGGGGAGGACGCCGCGCACGCGGCGGCGCAGCTTGCCCAGCGACACCCCATCTCCCTGCACAGGGAGAATACGCGGGCAGTGCTGCGTCGCCTCGTGTCGTGGCCGGGCGCGACGCTGGCGCGCCTGGCGGCCGGGGACCGCGGCGTCGACGGCTGACGCCGCGTGGGCGGTGAAAAACGCTTGCCGCCGCCCCTGGGCCCTAACGCCTGTCGACCACGCGGGAACGCAGCCGCCGGCGATGACGACGAGGACCCCGCCCCCCGCCCCCGGCTTCCGTCCCCGCCCGCGCCGTCGACCCCGCCCGCCCGCCAGCCGCCGACCACGAGCAATTGACGACAGCCCCCGCCCGCCCCCCCTTGTGCGCCCCTGCGTGCCTGCTTGCTGCCCGCTCGCCCCTCCCCTTCCGCCTGGTCCGCGTATGTTCGCTGCGTTTTCCCTCGCCTTCGCCCTCCTTCCCCCTCTGCTTTCTCCTTCCTCCCCTCCTGCTGGCGGGAAGATCCAACCCGCGGGCGGCCGAAGAGCGGTCGGCGGGCCCGGTGCTCGGGGGAGAGAAGCTCGCAGTGCGGGGGGCGTGGGGTCAGGGGGCGAAAGCACAAAGGTGCCACAGCCTCGCAAGGTTTCCCTGTACAGCCCAACGGTGGACGAGTGCCTTCTTGGCAGTGTCTTGGACGACCGTTGGGTTCGTCTTGGCCAGGCTCTGCTTCCGAGGGCCCAATACAGGGAACCCGAACTGCCTGTTGCAGCCCTCCACCCCAACATGGACCACGAGACGGCGCTGGGAGCCAAAAAGAAGGCCCCAGGAGGGCTTCAGAACTCCTCCCAAAGGCATCCAACAGACTCCACGAGACACCCAGAGGGCCTCCTCATCCAACTCCCACACGATAGCGTGACAGGCCAAAAGCAAATAGTAGTATGCTTCCTCGATGTATCTCCCTGTCGCTCCCGCCCTCGGCACATACACACACACACACACTTCTCCTCTTCCTCCTCCTCCTCCTCCTTCTCCTGCTCCTCTGTTGCCAACCTGCTCCTGCCTCGTCCTCCTCCTCCTCCTCCTCCTCCTCCTCCTCCTCCTCCCCCTTCTCCTCCTCCTCCTCCTCCTCCTCCTCCTCCTCCTCCTCCTCCTCCTCCTCCTCCTCCTCCTCCCCAGCCCGCCTTCATCCCCCCACACTCCTGCAAAAGGTCACAGCTCCAAATGGCAACTGTGCACGGATGCCCCGCGCGGGACGGATCCATGGAAACGCGTATCCATGGGATCCCGCCACGGTGTGAAGATCGCTGATGCGAGTCGTAACCTCCAGGGCCCTCAGCGTCCCGTCTGGAGGTGAAATCAATGAGGCATGACTCTGCGTCCCTGCAAGCAAAGATGTTGCTCCCGTTGAAAGGAGGCACTGGGATAAAGTGATGCAACGCCGCAGCGCCATTCACACACCTGCAACGAGCTCATGGCTCAGCACGCAAGGCATATGGCATTGCATGGACTGCCCACACTCACACTTGGTCTCATATGCCATCGAGCGGTCCAGAAACCTACTGCGCAACGCAAGCACTGTTTCATGAACGCCTGGGATGCGGTGGTCAGTGTATGACACATACAAGCCCGACCTTTGACAAACAATTGCTAGACTGAAAGAAAGCCCAGACTAGCTGGCTCTTCCAGCTCAGCAACGCTCCGTCAAACGCGATAAAAACCAGGCGTGGCCTCACAATATAGGAAACTACCCGCGACGGGAAGGGCGCTCCCATACCCTTAATAGGGGAGAAAGGAAAGCTCTAGCCATCCCGAGCTGCCGCGAGCAAGATGGCAACCACGGTTGCAACCTTGCTGCAGCCTGCAATATGAATTATCTGGGAACCCGAAGCTGCGTGCACCGCGTCTAATCGCAACTCACGGTCACCCCTCGAGCTGAGACAGGCGCCTCGAGAGCGGCACAAAATGCTTCTCAAAGAGAAGCCTGGTGGCATCTCCCTCAGGAAGGTCCTTAGTCGTACATGGAACCAGGCAATTCGAACAGCAACGCAGCAGGCATGGCGGTCACGCGTGAGAGCAGACCGGACCAGTTCCCCGACCATGCGGCAGCGACGGGAAGAACGACGGGAAGGGCAATGATCGGGGGAACAAAAAGTGGCATAAACAATAAAAACTCGGAGGTCCGCGCGGATTTCTCGGATCGGCGCTGGACACCCCTCCCTGGCGCGCGGAGCGGGCCAGGGGCGGCGCCGGAGGCGCCGCCGGGGGGCCCAGCGCCAATCCAAGAAATCCGCGCGGACCTCCGAGTTGTTATGTTTATGCCACTTCTTGTTCCCCTAATGATCAGGTCGGCTTCGTAACAGCCGATCGGGATGGCGGCTGCTCCACTCTGTGAGGCAGCACCGACCATCATCGGTGTATTTGAAGGGGCCCTTGGACGCACAAAAGAATTCACACAAATACAAGTATGTCCTCATATTTTCCGATATTTTCTGGGTTTCTGTCTTCCCCCCCACTGCCCACATTTTCCCATATTTTCTGGGAAATCGACGATTAATTGTGTCTGTGTGTTTTTCTCCTCCTGCGTATTGCAGTGCCGAGGCGGGGGGGGGGCGGGGGGACGCCTCCAGAGGGCCCCCGTCTGCGGAGCGCCGAGGGCAGCGTGCACCGAACTCGTGCGCCAAAGCTCGTGGCCTCTCGGGCGGCGGAGCGACACGCCCAATCCGACCCCTGGGCCCCTGAGCAGACCAAGGCGGCGGCGGACGAGGGGGGGAAATGAGAGGGAGAAGGCCTTCTCAGAAGGCGGTGGGACTTCTCAGAAGCCCTCGCGCCCTCTGAGAAGTTTTCCCCATCCATCCTGTGGTGTTGGGTCCTCGTTTTGAAGAGACAGCGCCCCGCGTTCACTCCTCCTCCTCCCGCTGCCCCCTCCCTCCTCCTCTCATCAGCATCATCATCGTCATCATCATCATCATCATTATCATCATCATCATCATCATCATCATCATCATCATCATCATCATCAGCATCATCATCATCATCATCAGCATCATCATCATCATCAGCATCATCATCATCACCATCATCATGCAAGGGGCTAGCCGTATCATCATCATCATCATCATCATCATCATCATCATCATCAGCATCATCATCATCATCATCATCATTATCATCACCATCATCATCATCATCACCATCACCATCATCATCATCATCATCATCATCATCATCATCATCATCATCATCGTCATCGTCATCGTCATCATCATCGACATCGTCACCGTTACCGTCCTCGTCATCATCATCATCACCAACTTCGGCGCACCATTGACACGTTTCGTGGCCCCAGAGGGAGCTCCACCGAAGGCCCCACTGGGGGTGCCCGCATACGTCCGCCACACCTAGTACAGCGTTTCGTTGCCCCACAGGGAGCTCCTCCGAAGGCCTCAGTGGGGGTGCCCGCATGCGTCCGCCACACCCAGTACAGCGTTGCGTGGCCCCATAAGGGTCTCCACCGAAGGCCCCAGCGGGGGTGCCCGCATGCGTCCGCCACACCCATCACAGCGTTTCGTGGCCCCACAGGGAGCTCAACCGAAGGCCCCAGTGGGGGTGCCCGCGTGCGTCCGCCACACCCAGTACAGCGCTTCGTGGCCCCATAGGGCGCTCCACCGAAGGCCCCATTGGGGGGTGTCGCATGCGGTTCCCCTACCCATGGCACCGGTTCGTGGCCCCATAGGGACCTCCACCGAAGGCCCCAGTGGGGGTGCTCGCATGCGGGTCCCCCACCCACGGCAACGCTTCGTGGCCCCATAGGGGGCTCCACCGAAGGCCCTACTGGGGGTGTTCGCATGCGGTTCCCCAGCCCAGGGCAGCGTTTCGTGGGCCCACAGGGAGCTCCGCCGATGGCCCCAGTGGGGGGATTGCATGCATTTCCCCCACCGAGGGCAGCGTTTCGTGGCCCTATAGGGAGCTCCACCGAAGGCCCCACTGGGGGTGTTCGCATGCGGTTCCCCCACCCAGGGCAGCGCTTCGTGGCCCCATAAGGAGCTCCACAGAAGGCCCTGGTGGGGGCATGCGGTTCCCCCACCCACGGCAACGCTTCGTGACCCATAGGGAGCTCCGCCGATGGCCCCATTGGGGGGGTCGCAGGCGGTTCCCCCACCCAGGGCAGCGTTTCGTGGCCCTAGAGGGAGCTCCACCGAAGGCCCCAGCGGCTGCTCTCGCATGCGATTCCCCCACCCAGGGCAGCGTTTCGTGGCCCCATAGAGAGAGAGAGAGAGAGAGAGAGAGAGAGAGAGAGAGAGAGAGAGAGAAAGCTCCACCGAAGGCCTCACTGGCGCAGTTCGCATGCGGTTCCCCCACCCAGGGCAGCGTTTCGTGGCCCCATAAGGAGCTCCACAGAAGGCCCCGGTGGGGGTGTTCGCATGCGGTTCCCCCACCCAGGGCAGCGTTGCGTGGCCCTAAAGGGAGCCCCACCGAAGGCACCAGTGGGCTCCACCGCAGGCCCCAGTGGCTGCTTTCGCATGCGCCTCCCCCACCCAGGGCAGCGCTTCGTGGCCCCATAGGGACCTCCACCGAAGGCCCCAGTGGCGCAGTTCGCATGCGGTTCCCCCACCCAGGGCAGCGCTTCGTGGCCCCATAGGGAGCTCCACCGAAGGCCCGCCCCAGTGGCGCAGTTCGCATGCGGCTCCCCCACACAAGGCAGCGCTTCGTGGCCCTACAGGGAGCCCCACCGAAAGCGGCGCCCACAACGCGTTACGAACAATTGCTTATGGTTAGGTCCCTCGCCAAGATAATTCTCTTGTATTCGGGGAAGGCGTAGACAGCTTCTCAGAACGCCCAGGGGCTTCCGAACCTTCTGAGAAGGCCTTTTCCTTCTCACTTCCCCCGCTCGCTCGCCGCCGATCAAGGCGGGCGGACGTTCTGAGCTTGGGCCCTCGTGGGAGGAGCAGGAGCCGACCGTCCCGGCATTCCTGTAAGCCTACCACGAAATCATCTCAGAGCACAGGGCTTAACATATTGTCGAAGCAGTGTTCGTAGAGCAGGACGCCAACGCGTTTAAACAGGACGAGCTCAGCCTGAAATAATATCAGGACAGTTCGTGAACACCCCACAGGGTTCTTATAACACTCGTTGGTAGGCCGATGGGCCAGAAAGGACGCCCTGGTACTGCTTGAAATGTGGAGGCGAAGTTGGAGAACGGTCCGAGCGAAGGTGAAGGTGACCAACGAAAAGGAACGGACCGTATCTAACATGGAACAGCGACCGTGCGCGGCGGTTTATTGGAGCGCACGCCGACGATAATAAATGATCCCCCCTCGACCCATCATATCTGCCTACCCCTGGGCTCCATATGGTTCAAATTGCCACGACAAACGGGGGGGCGAACTTTACTATCACCCCCACAGTTCGCATCGTAGCTCGGATCCTCGTATCGTGCATAGCACAACGATGTCTCAGGGAAGAAATGGATGATCCGAGCTCGGTGCGTAGACTGAACACGTAGATCTGGCGCGATACGTTCGCCAAAACGTGGGCCAACACTTAAAGCCAGCACGCAGCGTGCTAAAACGGGCGGCTTCAGCACGGCACGCGTGGCGATCCAAAACGGGCGCACCGAGGCAACCGAACGCTTCCCAGAAGCCCCCCCTGCTTGTGGGAGGCTTTCCTCCGAGGGCCCCTGGCTTCTCAGAGACCACGCGCCCTCCCGGAGGGCCTGTGCACCCCCCCCTCCTCCCACACCACCCCCATCTTGCGGACCGCCGGCGATCGGGGGGTGCCACGGGGTGGGGGTCATTCTCCTGGAGGGCATGATGATCATGTCCTCCTGGAAGAATGTCGAGGAGGCCGGCCAGCAGGGAGCGGATAGAAGACAGGTTGGACATTTCTCTGGGGTGCCACTATGGGAGTCCTACAGTTCTAGGAGGCTGTGGGTGGGGCCCCGGGGGCTCGCTCCCTGGAGGAGGTGTCGACCCCCCTGTGAGTTAACCCAGCCTTGCCGTGCCTGAACAAATCTGGTCGTCAGCGGCGAGGCGGCGAACGCCGCTCTAGCGGGAAGCTAGACAGGGACACCAACCAGCAAATCGACCCGCGAGCAAAGAGGGGGGGGGCGGACGACAGAGAGGAAGAAGGGACGCTCAGACGCCGAAGAGAGCAGCCGGGGGGGCAGCAGCAGTAGAAAACTTCGACGTCCGGCAGCCGGAGGGCCAGGCGCGGGGGCAGCAGCAGCCGCGCCTGAAACAAGGGATGAAGGGAAGTCTTCGACGCCCAAGCCGACAGTCGGACCGAGGTTTCAGATCGAGGCCACTTCAGTGTTCTTCGTGATTGACCAGGGCTGGACCTAAACGTTGTTTTTCGTTTAGGTTTCGTTTAGTGCTTCGTTTTGCTCTACCTGTTGTCCTGTAACTGCCTGCCAAAGGGAAAACAAAATACAGCCGAAGTCCAGCAAAACAGCGCTTAGGTCCAGCCCTGTGTTTGTCGGCTGCTCTTGTGCATCCTGGAGAATGTGCCCTTAGTTAGTTCTGTGTCTTTTTGCCGGCGGCGGGTCTCATGCTGTTGAGGGATGCTCCTCTGTCCCAAGTCCGAATGTATCGGAGATCACTGCGGTCCGGGGTAACTCCGGCTTGGGACTCGAGGCGCGAGCCCGTAGCTACCCCTGCCCTGCCCCCCAGCCCGACGATTCCGGAGAGCGTTGGACGCCCGCCCGAACTGTCGCGGATAACTGCGGTCTGGGGCAACTCTGGTTTGGGCCCGAGAGGCGCAAATCAGCAATACACATTAGGTATGACATGTCCTCCTACAGGGGGAACGTTGGACGAAAAATAAGAAATAGTCAAAAAGATATTCAACTATGTTTGAATACTACTCCTGTAAAGGGACACGCCCGACTTAACGTTACCCCTGACCGCTGATGATTCGGATCCCTGAAAAGCTAAGACCCCGACGCCATGATTTGTGTCATAATGTCGGCCCCCGGAGGTGTCGACCCATTCATGGGACCCGTCTTTCCT